AATATTAAGTTACCCTTTGCCTACCTTGTTAAGTCCAGGTTAGTGTGCCGGTTAACCACACACGCTCCACTAACGACTTAAGCAAAGTGCAAAGTGTAATTTTTATGGGTTAGCACCAAATTCACATTTTCCTAAGTAACTAAGATTGGGTATTAATAAGAGTTAGTTACTTAGTATTTATCATTAATACTTTTAATGAAAGGAGAATTATAGTCCTTGTCCTACCCATTCGGCTAACGACCCTCCACCAGTCAAGGAAGCGGTGGGTGAGAGTGGACACCCATTAAACTGCCATTTTATAGGCAGTAACCTTATACCCCCCTTATAGACCGGCTTCGTGAATGAGGCCTACTAACGGTAAGACTGACTTTACTCTTATACATATATATAAATATTATTAACTTATAATATTATAAAGTATAAGGGTTGAATTTTAACTTTTAAAATTCTAAGGGCTAACTTGGAATTAAAGTATTCATAAGTAAAAGCTTTTCAAATTCCAAAACTTGAGGGCAAGTTTTGAAACTATTCAAAACTAATTAATTCCATAACTTATGAGTTTAAAGTAGTTTTAATTAAAAAAAAACTCTTCAAGTTCCATAACTTGAGGACAAGTTATGGAAGACTTTAAACTAATTAATAAAAAAAATAACTTTTTTTATTGTAACTTATGGAACTAATTAAGGTTACACTTTTTTTTTAATTTAATGAAGAGACTCTTGAACCTCCATAACTTGAGGACAAGTTATGGAGTCATAAAACCATTTAATTAGAACTAGACTCTTCATTTTGTAACCTTTGCCAACTTTTATGAGTTTTATGATTCTTAAATGTGACTTTTCATATAACTTGAGGACAAGTTACAAAAACACACTTTGGAATCAACTCTTAGATTAAAATGGATTGAAAACAACTATTTCACACAACTTTTCTATTAATCTAAGAACCTCATAAGAACAAGATAATTCAAATCATCAATCTTCAAGAAATTAGCATGAACATACAAACTAATACAAATCTTGAAATTATGACAATTATCTTAGAAATTGGATTAGCATGAACATTACCACATCAAAAACAAGTTTATAAGTCCAAAAACATCTTAGGGTAATGTTCCTAGTCCAATTCCAGCCAAAACAATCGAATATATGCATCCAACTCGATTTTTCAGCTACTTTTGCAAGTATAACAAGAAAACAAGCCTAGGCTCCGATACCACTGTTGGGTTATGAGCATTCTAACACTCCTAAGTGTACATGCAACCCTAAATACCTTGGATCTATGTTTTCTCTATTATACATACAATTATGAACATCCAAGGTATTATCCTAATCTAGCATACAAAATAATAAATATAACAAGATAGAATACATACCTCTTTGATGTAGAATGTCTTCATAAAGCTTGAGTGCCTAGTGCCCCAAGTGTGACACCTCAAATGGTTCACACAACACCAAATACACTTGGAATAACTTGAGAGAAACTTGAACACTCCTTGAAATCGTCTAGCCATCACACTCACACATTAGTGCACGATTTCTTGAGCCATGGGATTCTTTTATATGGTGGCTATTAGGGTTACACCATGTAACTCATAACTTTACCCATTCCTTATGCTCCATGGATTTTAACCTCCATGGAGTATCCATGGGTCACCCCATGGACTTAGTCCAACATAAGGAATCTTGGATCACAAGCCCACATATATAATAATGAATGATTTACACAATCAACCCATATATTTAATTAGTCTCCTTTTGATCACTTAATTAATTCCAAATTAATTCTTGATCAATACTAATTAAATAACCTTATTAATATATTAGAACTTATAATATATTAACCAACCTTAAGTGTTATTTCTCTCATTATAGTCTATCCAAATGCATGATGCCATGCAACCCAAATGGACCATGCCGGGTCGGGTCAAGTCTTACCAATTATAGTTATGGACTTAGACATTAATCCAACACTTTATCCATCTAAACATCATGTTGATTCATATCTGAAGGTTGAGACTTGGACTTAATAGATTAAGTTGAGAAAGATGCATTTTTGGTCCCTTTGAGACTTAAATACTAGATATTGGTTGTTTGGACCCATTCTAATGGATAAGGTTGGAAACTTTAACCATTATGGAGCTATTAGGAACCAAATCTGAGCTTTAAATGAACGTTCTTAATGAATTAAGTGCTTAATGTGAGTATTGGAACCTGAAGCAGTACGTCATGCGTAATTCAAGCTACGCCCCACGTAGTCTAATTGAGGCCCATTTTTTGGATTGATGCTCTACGCCCAACGTAGAGCTAGAGTACGCAACACGTAGGTCAACAAAGGGTTGGCCGTTGATTTTTTGACTAGTTGACTTTTGGTCAACTGTGAGGGTTTAAGACTTGGAAGGGGGGGGGGATGGTCTTTTGCCCAAATATGGGTTAGTCCTATTATTTTTGGACCTGTTAAGTTGAAAAATTGCTTTAATTTTTAATCGGGGTTGTTTTGGTTATGTCTAGAGTGAGGAGCTTTTGATAGCAACATCGCGAGTGTGTGTTTTACCCGACTATCGTTTGAGTCGAGTCTTCTCACTATACTTGTGGGTCGAAGGCACCAATATCGACCCACTTGATTGTGTTATGTAGAATGCTAGCTGTATTTGTGACTATTTCATGTATGATTGGGTTGAAATATACCCAGGGATGGGCCCAAAATTGTATGTTGGGTTGAAAGAAACCCCATGGTTGGGCCTATTATTGTATGCTGGATTGAAATATACCCCAGTGATGAGCCCATTATTATATTTTGGGTTGAAATATACCACCGAGTTAGGCCCATGATTGTATGTTGGGTTGAAAGAAACCCCAAGGCTAGGCCCATTATTGTATGTTGGGTTGGAATATACCTAGGGCTAGGCCCAATGATATATATGGTATGTGGTATTATAGAGAATTCACTAAGCTTTAAGCTTACGATTTATGTTTAAAATGTTTTCAGGTACTTCTGGATTTCAAAAGGAAGGGCGCGTCTTGATCGCACTGCGTCCACTGGAGATTTATTACGCACTGAATATTTACGAATTACTATGATGTTTTGAAAACATTATTACTCTCATTGTCTTTGAGATAATGAATGAATGGCTTTGACTTATTTAAAAATGAAATTTTTACTTGGTATTTTTGGGACGTTACAGCGCAACGTGTCTGGTAGGTGGGCGTGGCGCGCACTTCTGCTATATATAGAATGCTTCTCTTTCATTTGTCTTCACACCTTCGCTCACATTCCTCTTTCTCTAGTCCGGTTTTTGGATTACTTTTCGAAGTTTTGAGGGTTTTCACTTTAGTAAAACTCTGGAGCATTAGAGGGCTCGGGAAGTAGAAGCTCTCGGGTCGAAGTTCTACCTGCAAAATTCTCGGTTTTTGCCAGAAACCTCTGTAAGTGCAGCTACACTTACTATGCTTTTAAGCGAGCTTATTTTCGTAATTATAATCGTTATTACGAACATATAAATGCTAGATTCGTCATTAATTCCAAGTAATACTAACTGATCTACTTACGAGAGAGGTGTGTAGAATGGTCACGTTGACTTGATTGTTGGATTTCAGAAACACTATATGCCGAAATGGTCATGCCTCGCAACTGTCCTGCCTAACCGATCCATATTTGATAGAACTCTCGGTATTCATTGGGATTAGTGAAAGATCTAGTTTTCATTACCATATTGTCATAAATATTAATAAGTTATAGTATTACAGGTTAATACTCGTTAGACGCGTTACCCGCCAAGTTGGATTGCCAATTGGAACACCATATAGTTGTCAATCGTCTGAGTAATTGTCCAGGTGAGCTTTTTCATTATATTATGTGTTCCAGTATATATCCTATGTATGTTAGGATATAGTTTCCCTATAGTATGCAATTAGACCACTATACTAGTTTAGTTAGTTGCCTATTATGTATGACTGTTGGTATGTCGTATATGTGTCGATAAATTATGTGGGGAGTCGAGGGCGGACTAGCCTCGTGCTGAAGGCCAATAGACTCGGGCGGACCAGCTTTACGCTGAAGGCCAAGGTGCAGACTAGCTTTACGCTGTAGGGAAAAAGAGGCGGACCAACTTCGTGCTGAAGGCCAATGGTGGACCAGATTTATGCTGAAGACCATTATGTGTATGCATTGTATATGTATTGTGGTATATGATATCTTGAAGAACTCACTAAGTTTCGTGCCTACCCAGTTGAATATAAATATTTTTCAGGTTACTTATATGAAGGGCAAGGTTCGACTAGACACACGCGCATTCGCAAAATGTTTACGCATAATGTAATTATACTCTGATATATTTAATACTAAATAAAAATGAAAAATTTAGGTTGAAATCGGGACATTACAAGTTTCGATCCGATCTTTCTGATTACATTGAACATGTTGATATTTCATCTTTGGATAACTAGTTTATTTTAATTGTCAGTTTTAAGATTTTTATTATTGTGTATTTTTTATTATTATCATTTCTTTTTTCTTATTTGTATTAGTTTTTAATTATTTTTTTAAAATTTAATTAAAATAATAATAATAACGTGTTAGAAAAGATGAGTTTTCATAAAAAAAAATTAATATAAAATTATATAACAAATAGATTAAGTGAACTTCATCCTAATATCGGAAAGATCATTGTGTTTATTGTTTCAATTTGTTCAATTTGAAACTATTCCTATCATATATATGAATAGAAATAGTAAAAAAAATGACATTTTTAATATGTATATATTTTTTATATTACCATTAAAATAGACAAGACAATTCTTTTATCATACCTTAAAATCAAAGGAAAAACAAAAACCGAAGCTTGAAAATTTTATGCTTAATAATAGTATTTGTCCAGTGGGTTGAGTGAGCCCGAGCCCCCTATTTTCTCTCTCATCATCAAAAGACTATAAAAAAGCTCTCAAAAACATCAGCTTTTATTTCCCTGTCTGCCATTAATTCCCATAAATATAACACATCACATCGCCTTCCTTTCCCCCTCATACCCCCTTTCTCCTTAAAATCAGACTCCCTTTTCTTCTTCCTTCATTTCCTTTCAGGTTTCATGGACCAAAAGACCCACCTCAAACCTAAACCTTTTTCCTCTTCATCTTTAACCTTTTCTCTAGCATAAATCACACTTGGGGTTTGACCCTTTTGTAGCTTACATTCTTGTTTTATCTGGGTTTTGTTTCGATTTTGAAAAACAGAAAAGAAAAATGATCACCGGTTCCGATCTTTACCATGTTCTCACCGCCGTTGTGCCACTCTACGTAGCCATGATCTTAGCCTATGGCTCAGTAAAATGGTGGAAGATCTTCACCCCGGATCAATGTTCAGGAATCAATAGATTTGTGGCTCTTTTTGCTGTTCCTTTGCTTTCGTTTCATTTCATCTCTACCAACAATCCTTACACCATGAACACTCGGTTCATAGCCGCTGACACTCTGCAAAAACTCATAGTTCTTGTGGTTCTTGCCATCTGGTCAAGAGTTAGCGCTAGAGGCTCACTCGAATGGTCGATCACTTTATTCTCACTTTCGACCCTTCCAAACACTCTCGTCATGGGAATCCCTTTGTTGAAAGGAATGTACGGAGATTTTTCCGGGAGTTTAATGGTTCAAATCGTTGTTCTTCAGTGTATTATTTGGTACACTTTGATGTTGTTTTTGTTCGAGTATAGAGGTGCTCGTCTTTTGATCGCTGAACAGTTTCCAGACACTGCTGGTTCGATTATTTCATTCAGAGTTGATTCCGATATTCTGTCGTTAGACGGAAAAGAGCCTCTGCAAACGGAGGCAGAAGTTGGAGACGACGGAAAGCTTCATGTCACTGTGAGGAAATCCACAAGTTCCCGGTCGGAGATCTTCTCACGGCGGTCGCACGGCGGAATGAATTCCGGGGTTTCTTTAACACCACGTCCTTCAAACTTAACAAATGCTGAGATTTACTCTCTACAGTCATCAAGAAACCCAACTCCGAGGGGTTCGAGCTTCAACCATACCGATTTCTACTCCATGGTTAATGGGAAGAATGCTAGCGGTGTTAGCCCACGAGGGTCGAATTTTGGGAACGTGGGGTATGATGAAGAGAGTGGGAATAACACTGTTAGGGTGAATGGACAGGGAAGTACAGGGTATCCTGCACCAACTAATGCCGGAATCTTTTCTCCGGTGTCAGGTCCGGCGGGGAAGAAGAAAGGCGGTGGTGGTGATGGTGGTGGAAAAGATCTTCACATGTTTGTTTGGAGTTCAAGTGCTTCACCTGTTTCAGAAGGAGGGATTCATGTGTTTAGAGGCGGAGAGTATGGTAATGATCTTGGAGGTGTACCCCACACTAAAGGTTAGACCTTTTTTACCCTTTCATGTCTCTTTAAGCCATTTTCGTTGAAGTCTGGTGTTCACTTTGCTAAAAAACGACTTTTTTGTTGGGTTTTTTTTCTACATATCTTGATGGGTCCTTTCATACCATGAATATTCAAGATTCTAACCTTATGGTTGGAAGGTTCTTGATTTAAGGGACTCAAGATTTGTAGGGTATCCCCAAGATTTGGTCCAAATTGATTCCATTTCTCACATGAACTCTTGATCTAGTTTTTGTGCCCTTGAATAAGACTAAATGCTTATTAGTCCTTATATCATGGGAATGTTTTGTATTATTAGTGTAATTAAGGACACCCAAAATCTTGGGTTTGATTCACTTAATTCCAAGATGGTTGTGTTTGTTTGTTTGTTGTTGATTATGTCGGAGAGTCCCCTTGAATCTTGGCCATGCATGTCTTCTTCTTTTTTGGACACATGCTTCATTTATTTCCCTTCCTTTTGTTGCAACATGATTAAATTCGTTCCATGAAGTCAACTTCTTTGGTCAAATTAGAAATATTTCAATTTCGTATTCCACATGAATCGTTATTAATTTTTTGGTATATAAGATTATAAGATCCGGATTTGTTCGAATTTATAAAACCGCATGGCAGAAACATTTTCGATGTATACTCTGAAAGTATTCGTGTTAAATTTTGATATTTGAAATTTGTCGCTTTGCCTTATTAATGGTCAAACATTCTCCAATTTTATTTTATACACATCTCTACTGAAACATTGGTCATTTTGTTTCTTTAATCATATGTTCTTCGTTATTGACGTTTCATTCTTGTTTTGTTCCTTTTTAAAATCCAAGAATCCCTTAAAACATGGGCCTCATGTTTCTACCCTTTGCACATGTGCTTCACTTATTCCCTTCCATCTTCCATAATTATCCCAAATGTTCATACAATTAAAAAATAGGACCAACAGGCGAAAAAATAGAAAATACATTTTCTCATATTTATTTAGTTTAAATAAATCAATGAAAGTACATTGCTATTTCTTGATTAAAAGCCCACTAATTCTTATCCATGTGATGTTGAAACTAGATTACGACGATTTTGGCCGGAACGAATTCAGTTTCGGGAACCAACCGGGCCCGAACGGTGTGGACCGCGAAGCATCGGTTTTGTCTAAACTCGGGTCGAGCTCGACTGCTGAGCTCCACCCAAAGTCTAGCCCTCATGGTGAACCTAAGGCATCAGCTATGCCACCGGCTAGTGTCATGACTCGACTCATTTTGATCATGGTGTGGCGCAAACTTATCAGAAACCCCAACACTTATTCAAGTCTCATTGGGCTCACATGGTCCTTGGTCTCCTTCAAGTATGTGCCAAACCAAGTTTATATTCTTTATTATTGAATACAAATGATTTATATAATAATTTTCTCTTTGTAGATGGCATGTTCAAATGCCTGCAATAGTTGCAAAATCCATTGCGATTCTCTCCGATGCCGGTCTTGGCATGGCCATGTTTAGTCTCGGTATGTTTACGCATTTTTTTTCACTAGACGGTATAAGTATGTAAGTACTAGGTTACCAGACCTAGTACGTACACGGCCTGATACTATATCATAGTATCAGACCTTAACAGTTGCATTGTGTCTGATCGGACACAATGTATTTTATTAAAGAGGCGAGTGTTTTCATGAGTGTTTTTGTTTTCTATGTTAATTTATAGGTTTATTCATGGCATTGCAACCGAAGATTATAGCGTGTGGGAACTCAGTTGCGACTTTTGCAATGGCGGTTAGGTTTTTGACTGGACCTGCGGTCATGGCGGCTGCATCGATTGCGGTTGGACTACAAGGAACTTTGTTACATGTTGCCATTGTCCAGGTATGAAACTCGTTTGACTTTTGGAAGTCAAAATCTTGACCTTTATTTTGACTAATGAATTTGTTGTTGCTATTTAAATATTTACAGGCAGCTCTCCCACAAGGAATTGTCCCTTTTGTGTTTGCTAAAGAATACAATGTACATCCGGATATACTTAGCACAGGGTGAGTCTTGTACGTCATGCATTGAAAGTTGTATTATGGAAATGTACAAGCTTTAATGCATTGTTTACATGTTTTGTGTTGCAGGGTTATATTTGGAATGTTGATAGCGCTACCAATTACTCTGGTGTACTACATTGTGTTGGGGCTTTGAATGGATGCTGACTTTTGTCCTGTTTGAAGAAGGAAAGGGTTTTTTTGGGGGTTCTCTAACATGTGAAATTACCATTTTGTTAACGTAGTAAAAGAGAAAAAGAGAGGAGAAATTAGAGGGGAGGGGTGGGGGTGGAGAGGGAGAGAAATGTAATTTGATAAGAAGAAGACATTGTCTGGTAGTAGAATCAATGTTTGTCTCTCCAAGTTCTTTTGTGTATTCCAACAAGAAAAGCAGTGAAGGCTGAGATGCTTCTTCTTCTTCTACAGTTTTACTTTACTTCCTTTGCACTTTTGGCAGATATTTAGTACATTGGAATCCCAATGCGGCAATGCTGCAACACTTTGTCTTGTCACATAAAAGTTGTTCCCTTTTCCTTTTAAAAAGGGTAAAACATTTTATCAATTTTAATTTTTAAATAAACAAGATACAAATCCTAAACATTTTGTAAAAATGTCAAATATTAAGTAACGAACAATGACTATTTTCACATGATTTATATTACCATAATAACGCTAGTGATTTATACAACAAAAGTTCATTTGTTACTAACTAGAAATATGTCAAATTAACTCGCATGATTTATTTTACCATAAGGCCATAATAACACTAGTTATCATACAATAATTTTCGAACTAAACCATTTTATAAAAATCACAAAATAAATAATCAAGGAAATCTATTTGTGGTCTCGGTGGATATTTGGTACACAAAATAGAGAAATGAGCACAATCATAACCCCAAGATATTTTTTCCAACGTAGGAGATTAGTTCTTCTATTTTTCGGCTTATACCACCATAGGGGATGATTTCTCTTTTTTGGGTTCATCGTGATTTAGAGAATGATTTTACTAATTATGATCCGATCGAAATCTTCATCTTTATTTTGATGGAAGTCCATTTCCTCCGACTCTTGCATTTCTTTCATCTAGATCTTCTCTTTTTCTAACATTGTCTATTTGTAGAAACTTTCTATATTGTCAATTGGCAAAGAAATGTTAGAAAGTCACACACACTAAATATTTTAGTTCTTCAAGAACCATTCCATCAATGGATATTGTGTGTTGGAAGATCTTGAACAATTTCAAGGCAAAAATAGTTTGAATCATATTATCTAAAAACGGTTGTAAGTCTTTGAGCTTATTCTATATCAAGAAGCTTTTTGAAGTTTTTTTCATCTTGAAGATTAATAAATAACTAGGGTTTGGACCATCCGCGCGTTGCTGCGGAAGCTCCGGTATGTTAAAAAACGCAGTTTGACACCATATATACAACGAAGACGATTAAATCATATAAAATGGAGCACAACAATATCAAAATAAAACATGGATACAAACAATTGACTTGAAAGTGTATCATTAAGAAATTAATAAAAAAAAAGATTATTAAAAAATTATATAAGGGGCCAAAATGTAACTTTAAAATATAGTAAGTGACCAAATTATAATGTATAAAATACTAATAAATTAACTTTAAAATTATAAGGGTTGAAAACTGTTAAATAAAAATTAATTAAGGAGGAAGAATATAAATATATATAAATTTTAATTATAAGGATAAAAATTGTTACATCAAAATTAGTTTAGGGGTACAAAGTATAAAAACAAATAAAAGTAAAGGGTGGAAAATGAAAAAAAAAATTGAGGATAAAAATTGTTACATAAAAATTAGTTTAGGGGTACAAAATATAAAAAAAAATAAAAGTAAAGGGTGGAAAATGAAAAAAAAATACATCAAAATTAGTTTAGGGGTACAAAATATAAAAACAAATAAAAATAAAGGGTGGAAAATGAAAAAAAAAATTGAAAGTATGAAATCTGCTTAACGTGGAATGAATAGTAAATTGTCACGCATACCAATTTTGGTAATTAATATATATATATATATATATATATATATATATATATATATATATATATAATTTTTAGTCAATACTTCTAACAAATATGAATTTTTAATTGATTCTAAAATCTAGATTATAAAGATGCAAAGTGAAAATGGAAATGTTCATTTATAAGGGACGTTGAAGTGATTCGGGAGTGACGATACTGATGGGGAATTGTCCTGAAAACAAGCGGGTTGAGAAAGCATCTCTCTCTCTCTCTCCATAAGCTTAAGAATTTGTACATATTTTGTTTTGTATATTTTCAATTGATTGAGTTGAGAGGATTGAGAAATATATTAATTCGATGTGTTCAGGGCCGGTCTAAGTCGATTTGAGGCCCAGGGCAAAAGTAGAAAATGGGGCCCTTCAAAATTTACTAATCGCCAAATGATAATACAACGATGTTTATGGAGACGAGTACATTGTCAAAATAAAAATAACAAATGGAAGAAAAAAATGAACAATCGAATAAACGAACCATTATGAAAAATCGATTTGGTGTTTGGAAAAAAACAACAATGTGTGTTTGGAGAAAACAAAAATAGATATTTTGATGAAAATCATAAAAAAAAAAATGAAGAATGACTGGCCTAAACGGTAGGTTACCATGATATTTGTTAATAAAACTACAAACAATCATCATTATATGTTAAAATATGATGCAAGATACCAAACTTTTAAAGGAAATGAGGGTCTTAGTGTTTTGTCAAAAACAAAAAGAGTTATACGAAAATTTCTATAATGATTTTTTAATAATAATAAAGAATATAAGGCTTATTTTTGTAATTTGAATTCCAATTCATAAAAATAGAAAAACTAATACATAAAATTATTCAAATATAAAAATAATACATAAAACAAAATATTACCCACTATAGCGTTTGGTTGTGATAAAAAAGAAATTAACAAAAGAAAATAGGGTTGCCGGTATTTTCTATAATGTAACAAAAGAAAATACATGCATAATAGTATTTCTTATTAATTTAAAAATCGCATATAACAAGTTTCGAACCTAGGACTTCTAATAAGGTAGCGCCTAGAGGCGATAACTCCTATCCAACTCAACTACCAAAATCTTATTAAAATTACTAACAAAACGTGTGTGTGTGTATATATATATATATATAATATATATATATATATATATATATATATATATAATATCAAACAGAAATAATTTTGGGGCCAAACCATCGCGAGGCCCGGGGCGGTCGCCCAACTTGCCCACCTATTAGGCCGACCCTGGATGTGTTTTGGTTGGAAAAAATAAAAGAAACAAAAGAGAAAAAGCTGATGTGGATATAATGTAAGAATATATTGAATGAGTTGGGAGGACCCTCTCCCTCAAAGCCATCAAAATTTATTACATCTTGAAGTCAATAATTTTATAATAACTAATTTTCACCTTGAAAACTTTAAAAAAAAATAAGAAGAGCAACCACTCTTATATTGATTGTAAGTGTACGGTGGAGATGTGCTAATGGAAATTTTATACATGTTTTAGCAATTGTTAATTCTCAAACAAAGTTTATTAAGATAAACACAATCCTTCGATTTAAATATAAAAAAAACACAAAGGTATTTCAAAAACATAATATTTTTTCCAACCAACAATAACAAAGATAAAACAAAATATAAATGCGAAAATGTGCAAGTTAAAGGAAAGAAATAACACAGTGAATTATAGTGGTTGGAATCTATACAAAAGCTTAATCCATTTCGTCAGGGCATCCCTCTCCATCTCCATCAGCTACCCAACGACGGTTGATCGAGTAATAAAATAGCTTAAGAGACTTTTACTTAGTCTTGAAAAGCTAGTACAATATTTGCATTTCTAGTAATGTCACACTCTTTGCAAGAGATGATTGACCACTCAAATAAATACTCTTAAACACTTAAAAGGATAATGATCTGGGATGAAAGCACACCACAAATAAAATAAATGCAGATGATGATTTTAAGCAAGGTGTGAGGAAGACATAAAGAAGTCAATAGTAAAATTGAAAGCTTGAAAATGAATGTTAGAAATGTATATTATGATTTTCGTCAGCTCCACATGTATATTATGATTTGGCCCTCGTGTGATGGTAGGAAGCTACACCAGGGGCTATTCTCGGTTAGCATCAGGAGGCCGCATTTAGGGGTGAAACTTCTCAGGGGATCTGTTAGTAGAGATGCTAGTTTCATTAGCAGCTTAGCTATAAAAAGAGTCGAAAACGCTGTGAATTTGATGCGTCTTCTTCCACAATTGTCCGACCCCAGAGTGAGCTCCTTCTGCTTCGGTCTTGTATGAGTATTGCTAAGCTTTTCATTGGGTTGTGGACGTGCCAACCCGTTCACATGGATGAGGCTGCAATATTCTTTGACAATGGGTTGCGCGAGGCGATTGAGGACATTGTGGTTTGTGGTGGCCTTTTCTTTGATGACATACAGTGGCAAATTGCTTCCTTACGCATTAGGTTTGGTGGTTTGGGTTTATACTCGACAGTAGAGACTACCTCATATGCTTTTGTTGCCTCAAGGACCCAATCTTGGATATTGCAAGACCATATCTTACGGGATAGCAACATATATGGTAGGGATTCTGATTATGATTGTGCCTTGGCTTCTCTTCGTAACAAGCTTCCGAATATTGACCTTAACAGTTTTACTACTAAAGACACCGCCCCCCTTAATCTCAGAATACATTGGTGAGTGCCCTTTTTCGTAAAATTGTCCAAGATATGGAAGTACATCTCGACATGACGGCTCGACAGAAAGCGGTTTTCCAATGCTTACGTGCACCACATGCTCAAGATTTTCTTCTAGCTATCCCTATAGATGGGCTTGGCCAACATATGTTTCCTGTGGTGTATCGTACTATCCTCAAATATTGACTCATGATTCCAATTTCCCAACCGATGAGATATGTTTGGTGTGTCGCAAGGCATGTTTGGACTCTTTTGGAGAGCATGCAGTTCACTGTAAAGAACTTCTGAGGTTCAAATACAGGCACAATATGGTTAGGGATGTTTTGTTTGATATATTTAAGCGTGCCGGTGTTTCCACCAAGAAAGAGGCACATGTGAATTTCTTGACTGACGCGACAGAAGGAAGGTCAACCTTTAGACCGTCTGACATTTTGATTTTTGGATGGGTCGGAGGGAAACACGCATGTGTGGACCTTACAGGGGTATCCCCTCTCGTGGGCTTGAGGTCTGGGGGTTTCACGACAGGACAGACTGCTTTAAAAGC